GATAAATCATATCATTTAGAGAAACGCCTGCAAACTTGGCGGCACAGTCAAGGACCACTCTCAGTTTTTCTGGTTTATAACGGCATGGTGAGGCAAGTACCACCGGGGGCGATAACTAGGTTGCAATTGTATTTCAGGGATCTTCTCCGCATAGCTTTAATAAAATTACTTTCAATACCTTTTGTATACTTGATATACAGAATGTCATCTTTCAACAATCTGCGCTTCAAACTCTGTAGTCTACTGCTTGCCACTTCATAATTCCCCCCTTTCATATTTGGGTTCACTTTCCATGGTATAGGAACTACAAAATGATCATTTTCGAAGCGTGTGCCCCCTTCCACAATCCTTATAGCCGCCCTATCTTCTAGTGATACTGATTTATCATTTGAATAAACATCAGAAAACTCTACATCATAAAGTTTTCGTATTTCATTCTCCAAGGTCTGTATCTTACTGGTATGATTGACCACTCTTTTCCTATATTCCGGATACGACGCAGGTCTGAAGACCGTCCAACCCAGCAACGTCTTAACAGCGTACGGGCTTTTTCTTCCACCCAACCACTGGTCTAACACCCAGTGTGCTTCTGGTACGTCGCAACCAATCAACAGCAGAACTTCTCCAGAGTCTAAGTTATCTAATGGTACATCCCCTAAATGTGGCCACTTAACTAGGCTGTTCACTGCCGACTTTGTTGTCTTATGACCTGGTATACCTGCCACAATCAGAGCTCCTTCGATCGTAACATGTTCTGAACGATCTAGAGAATATACCTCAAAAGGGGTCTTTGTGACCGTCATTGTCCTATTACCACCCAGTCTCTACTACCACTGACGCTCGGTCTTCTTTCAGCCCGAGATACCTCAAACAGCTCGATTTTATCAACGTTACATCAGACCCATTATCCAACAAAGCATAACCTACCATTTCGGCATTTCCCAACCTCAACCGTACAGGAATCATTCATAAGCACACTTGGCTACTTAGGGATTTAGTAAATCCACAGCAATTCGGGATATCAGGCTTATCATTTTCGCTGTGCAGCAAAGAATGGTGTTTCTTCTCACAACCATTAACGTTACAACGTTTTGCCAGCTTACATTCATTAACTTTATGCCCTTGCCTAAGGCAGACAAAACAGATGCCATTAACGTTTGCTTGAGACCATCTCTCTTGAACGGTAAGCGCTAAAAATTTTGGACATTTATAAATAGCATGGTCCTGGGAACACACCCTGCATTTAGCTCTCGAGTTACTCTCCTGTTCTAATTGCAAGTGACAATTTGTCTTTAAGTTGTGTCCCTTTCTCGGACGATTTGCTAACCGGCCAAATCTACTACAAGCCACTCCGCACGCGATGCGATAAACTGAGCGAGTTCGTGAAACGTCGGCTCTCTATCATCTTCGGTCAATTTATCCACCCAGTCCGCCCACTGGGTTTGCACAGGTTGAGGCAAAAGTCTCACTATTCTTTCCAAAGTAACTAAAGAATTTAGATCAGAGGTATAATTCATCTGTTCTAAGACCATCGCACAGTTTTCCATTTTAATGACCAAGTTTGATAGTTGCTCCCCGTCAGTATAATCAAAAATAACAGCATTAAATAAGTCTTCTAATGTTTCTCGAGCGATTACATGAGACTGTCCGAACAAACGCTTTAGAATTTCCCTTGCTCTCTTATAACCAGAGAATGCTTCCATCATGACACAACCCTCAATAGCTGCCTTCGCCTTGCCCTTACAATAGTGCATGAGATAGAGCAAGCGTTGGCTATCATCGGTGACTCTTGATGCTACATACGTCTCAAATTGCCTTATAAACTTCCAGTATCCTCTTGGCTCTCCATCGAAATAACTCAGTTCCACCTTTGGTAGTTCTGGGCCAACAACAGGCACTATAGGCAACATGCTCTTTCCTGGTAATTCAAGCCTTTGCTTCTCCTTCAAACTTAGATTTTTTACGTCATCTGTCATCGAATTAAGACTATAGTCACTACCATGATAATCAATCCTATTCAAGTCTGAACCATGACCCTTAAGGACGTCAAAAGGCACTTGCTTGACAATAGGGGATTCTTCATTAACATCGACGAACTTTGGGCTTGATTTCCTTCGACGATTAGCTGGCATTGTAAGCGAAACGACCAATTATTTCCAGAAAATCCGCGAACGATTGCCAAACGACTTCGGCCAATTAGTATTGGTTTAGAACTGTAGGATCCAAACTACGGTTTGGATGGTGAAGAATAGCCTTCCGGGGACTTTAGACACGCGCCCTTTCCCGTCGAAATCAAAACAAGTAATCGGGTAAATAGCGGTTCTATAATTCATCATAAATTTATAGGTAAATCGTTACCTAAATCAATATTACCACCCGGCTATTCAACCAATAATTGTTCAATCAATCAAATCTAAATTACAATAAATAAAGAAGTTGATAAAAGATGAGGGAAAATTACCAGTCACAACAGATGAACGTTATTCTATCCTGACTGGATAGAACACACACAAAAGGAGGAGCAAACCAATATGGCTACCGCCAAGAACAAGTGTCAAGTAAAACAACACAGATGCAGTTCAGGAAGAAACACAAACTTAGTGAATGCGTAAGAAAAACAAAAACTATAATAAAAAATACAAGTATTAACAAATCAAATGTAATCAAAAGACAACAGTGTACAACTAAGGGGATCAATAGGAACAAAGTACAAGTATATACATGGAGGGATTTTCACCAACACACAAAACATTCAAAATGGATCTTACAGTGATTATTGTCTAAAATGACTTCCAAATCCCATGCAACTAAAGTTATCTTCTTATTCTGAGTTAGTCTAAGTAATTCTAGATTCGCCCGGCATGATTCCGACTTCACTTGAATAAAAGCATAACAAGTCTTACTATCTCCTGAAAATGGGTAAACTCTGTGAAGGTGACTCGCAACTTGTCAGAATTTGAATAACCTGATACTATTTGTGCGGCAGAATGTATGCATTCGTAATATAAAGTAGTGGGGTTGAAATTTAGTAGGTTTCAAGATCCGTTGTAATTCAGCTGTCTCACCTTGGCGATAGGACCACAGTGTCAATACAAGATCTTTCATTAGGATTGTTATATACAGACTATTAGTTTTGCTTTACAGTTTTTAATAATGCTCTTAAGAAATTTATTAAATCGTGGGATGGTTGCAACATCTTCTTTTCCTCTAACCTTATATTCTGAAGTGATGATGTTGGTTACTCTTCTGAAAAGATTGAGGCTAGAGAGGGTTTTGCACTGCATAAATGTGCTGAGTTAAAACCAATATACCGACTTCAATGCGTCGGTTTTCGGTATATGGTTAGATTTCCATTAGAATTCATTTTAAGTAAACAGTCTAAGAATGGCAGTTCACTATATCCATTTTCTTTCTTGAAGTTGACTTGATATTTTCTTAGAACGTGCCAACGTGTTTGGGGAAATTTCTAAGGAGTCTTTTTAATAATGACAAGTGTGTCACCTAAGTATCAGAACCAGATGCGTGGTTTGATGCTACTGGCAAAAATAAGCGACTCAGCAAGAGACACTATAAATAAGCAACAATCGGAGATATAGGAGGTCACATGGCTGCTCCATTCCTTTGTTTATATAGAAATATAGTTCGAGGAATTTCATGATTGCATTAATATTTAATGGACAAGTGCTAGACAGGGGTATTATGATTCTCTAGTAAATTATCATAGTTTCGACATTTATCAATTGCGATTCTAGTGTTTAAAGATACATCATAGCTTACGGTTGTTCTGTTCTTGTTGATGGATGATTCCGAGATCTTCGGTTTGAGTTCATATGAATGTTTTACGACATTAAATAATCTGTGTTGAACTGGTTTCAGTGCGCTGCTTAGATATTTAGATAAAGCATACGTTAGAGTATTTGTGAAGTTCACTATGGATCTTAAAGTAGTGTCAGGCTAGTGAATTTTGGTAGCCCGCAGAAACGTGAGGTTGTAATGGATTTAGGGTATAAAGTAATCTATAGGGAAACGCCAATAGATGAATGTAGCCCTTCCAGAAGTTTACTAATTGGATTTTATTTTTAATCAATCTCTAAATATGCTCCCGTTGATAGATGTTTACGAGCTTTTCGCGACAGTCGCCTTTGTTTATGATCACTGTTGTATTCCCTTTATCATCTTTGATAATGACAATCCTTTTATCTTTCTGCAATGGGTATAAAGCTTTCCATTCTTTGGAAACGTTATTTCACCTGTTTTATATGTATTTAAAAATAATAAACCTTCATGTTGAGTGGACATTTTGCTGTGCAATATCTTACAAGTCTGATTTTTGACAAACGAAGGAATAGCTACACTTTCTGTTTATTAGCTGACCGTTTTAAAACAGAATGACATATCACCAATGGAAGTACTCTGTAAAAAGTCATCTAAAAGACTGATTGCTTACAATCAGATTTTAAATTAACGCAACCAAATGGCGTAGACCGACTAGAAAGTGATGGGAATAGTCAACAGCAGCAACAAGAACAAGTCTTCATCGACACAAAGGTTACTCTGACTTCCTCATTTAGTGCGTTATATGTGTTGGGAGGCACACCAGAAAAACATCAATCGAAAACTACGTGAAAACTCATCTGAATATGTACATTCATAGTGGAACATTAGAACGTACATTCAGCAATCGTACAGTATAGTTTCATAAACAAATTAATAGAATGTGACATAGTGTTTAACTAAAGCATGGAAATGAAGTTGCATGTATAAAATTTTGATATCGATTGCTTTGTAAAAACGGAAAATAGTGAGTGAGAAACAGCGAACTACCTTTATACTTCGCAAACGTCCTGTTTCTTTTTAAGTATAGGCACGTTACGAGAGTTTAGAAGTGTTCAATTATCTAACAAGTATATAAGTTCATCAACGTTTTTTTCAGTAACAATGCATTGAGCAAATCAACACTGATCGCAATGCTGGATATCAGTGAATAAACAAAATCCGATTTACAATTCTGCTTCATCTGGTATTTCGGAAGTAAAAGCTTCACGATTTTCATGGGCCCAAAAACCTTGGAGATCAATCAATATGTTTATTACGGTGTCGCCCTTACCACTGTATATATAAATATGAACAAAAACTCCAAATTATAAACATATATGGGAAGAAAAATATATAAGACAAGAACAGACGTAAACAATCAATCAAATAGTGCTTTTTGTGAGGAAGTATTATAAAAGTTTAAAAAAACACACTCAACGAAGTGGGATCGCAGACACTCATTGTAAATGAAAATAACCTAGTGTTTACTAACTCACTGAACATATACCAGTGATCAGGGTCATTTTATAATGACTACTGTGAGCTGACTGGCTAGTCAACAAAGTATCGGATACAAGTGCTGATTCGTCAGGAAGATAAGTGACATTTGGAAAATGATGGATTTATTTTACGGCATTAAAACATGCCAAGTGAACCAAACAAACGAAATATTACCCTAACGTAGTAGGGACGTTATTTTTTGTAGCATAGTGTCCATGATTTGTTGGAAGATTGAAGGGGGAGGTCATTACTGCAAACGAAATACTGTTATATCAGAACAAACCTTTATGCGTGTTTATTGTCAAGCAATGCTACTGGAATCTGTAGATAAGCTTCTGATAGACCCAGTTTTGCAAAACACTTCTCCCCATTCATTTTTGCAAATAAGTCTTTTGGTAGTGGCAAGTGGTACTGATGGGCTTCAAGTGCTTTGTTTAATCCAGCCTAATAATCTACACATAGCCGGATACTTCCATTAGGCTTCTAAACAATCACTGTTGATGTTGCCCAATTAGAAGAATTCACTGGTCCTATGATTTCACTTCTTTGTAGGCGCTCTAATTCTTGTTCAGCAACAGGTAGCGCTGCATAAGATACGGGACGTTTTGGTCTAAAAACGAGGGTTACTTCCGGTTTATGAATTAGTAGTGCTTTTACCTTTTCGCATTCCCCCAATAATTCCGTGAACACTTGACTATGTCTAACACAACATTCCTCAGATTCTTTTCCGCTGATTTATTGGTTCTCACGCAGCTGTATATGTGGTTAATGGAGTGGGTTTGCTAGCTGTAGTGTTTTTACTAGGTCTAGACCCAGCAAATCTAGTCCTGGATTCTTTGTGAGATATAGTGTTGCGTTCGTCTTCGCATTTCCTTTTGAAACTGTACAGCAAACTTCTCCGGCAATATTTAATTTCCCTCTAGATGCACTCTATGAGCTAACTGGGTTGTTGGTCCTGTCTAGAGGCTGCAAAGAATCCGACTAAAGCTGAACCACAACCATGGCCAAAACCAAACGGGCCTTGGCAAATAATACACACTGATTTCGCCGGTCCAATACAAGGCAGAAACTACTTGGTTGTTGTCGATGCTTTCCCAAAACGGGTACTTGTCGAATTGTATCAAGGTGATATAAAGTGGGAACCAGATATTATAGAACGTCGGATCGGAAATGTACTGTACCTAATCCAAAGAAATGTCGGAACGTGTATAAGACACGTAAATCAAGTTCAAAGGGATGGCAGAACATTGATCTCACAAAGCTGACTCCCGTTTCAATTGCTCGCGGATTCATCTCGAAAAAACTCAGGAGTGCGAATGTAGAAGTGATAAAAGACGCAAGGGCAAAGCGGTACAACCTACGAGAATGATGAACTACAAGAGGAATGTAACAACCAAGTTTTAGGTGGACCCGAGAAAAGTCACAATTGACGCAGAAGATTTGGGAGATGTAAAAACCTTTACATATCTGGGCAGCATCATTGATGAACAGAGTGGATCTGATGCAGATGTGAAGGCGCAGATCGGAAAAGCAAGAGCAGTATATTTACAACTGAGGAACATCTGGAACTCAAAACAATTGTCAACTGCCAACACCAAGGTCAGGATTTTCAATACAAATGTCAAGACAGTTCTACTGTATGGAGCAAAAACCTGGAGAACTACGAAAGCCATCATCCAGAAGATACAGGTGTTTACTAACAGTTGTCTACGCAAGATACCTCGGATCCTTTGGCCGGACACTATTAGCAACAACCTACTGTGGGAGAGAACAAACCAGATCGCAGTAGAGGAAGAAATCAGGAAGAAGCGCTGGAAGTGGATAGGACACACATTGAAGAAAGGACTCAACTGCATCAAAATGCAAGCCTTCACTAGGAATCCTTAGGACCGAAGGAGAAGAGCAAGACAAATGGACACATTACGCCGAGAAATGGAGACAGATATGAGAACAAAAATTGGATAGAACTGGAAAGGAAGGCTCAGGACGGAGTGAGTTGGAGAATGTTGGTCGGCGGCCTATGATCCATTGGGAGTAACAGACGTAAGTAAGTAAGTAAGAGAAAAGTTTTACACAACAGACTTTAAAGAGTGTAGGTGTGAGTACGGTCCACGAGTGAACTCAAGGAAGCCCTAAGAAGCTCGGGAAGAGATGAAGATATTCTATCCAATCAACCTTCCGAAGAATATTCCAGAATCCCTACGTGGAGCTTCCCTATTGGACAAATGCTAATAACCCCCTGTATGTGGATTGGAGGACTATAATGGTGGTTTCGTTTTTACCAAAAACTATAAATATCTGACAGTTCTGTACTATAATAGACACTATTTGGAATAGCATTACTTTCACTTGTCCTCTGTCTCCTCATTTGCGACTTTAGAGGGTTCTAGCGTTCGAGTGCTCAAGTTATAAGCGGTATATCAAGAATCTAGGCACAAAATATAACAAAATCGAGAAATTTCGAAATAGTCCACTAATACACTACTATTTCGATCTAATCGTGATAAGTCCATAAAATAAATTTATAGTAAATACAATTTTCATTGATTGTTTAGCCATAGTTCTAGTAATTTATTCAGTCGCAGTAATCCTACTAGTTGTATATCTATAAACTAATGACTAGTGAATGTTAAATTCCTATTAATATGTATTCATACTAAATTCAGTGTTTTACCATTCATTAAATACAATATTTCAATTACAGTTGGCATTGTCTGAACTAAGGGGTGTGAGTTAATGAAGGCTCAATACGAATATAAAATCGAAATAATAAACCTAGTTCATACATATACATAACCAATAGAGATATGAAACTCCAGCTTTTTAAAAACCAGCATGGACTTACCAATTGATAAGGTCATCTAAAGTGATGTAATGGGGATTCGCTGGTCGTACCATATCAAAGATTTCATTTAATACATTCTCAAAACTTGGTATATCATTATCTGAAGCACGTAGTTTGTCTTCGATTCCATCATAAAAATACCGTAATGTTAGTGAAGTCAGTTTACCTTGACCACCAACATCAAGAATACGAAAAAGATAAGCAATTGCTTGCGGCTCGTGTTTATTTTCCATAGCCAAAACCAAGTCTAAATAAGTTTTGTAGTCCTGGTAAAGACGTAAAAAATGAATTTTGAGTAGGGAATCATAATGCTACTGTGACAAATTATAACAATCGCGTATGGATTTCATTTGTAACAATCTGACAACCTCACAACTAACCACTAAGGATAATGACTAAATACATAACTGGTTTTAATACAACTAGGCGACCAAGTACAGAACGATGTGGATCGGGGCTACAATGCATAATTTTTTCGTGATGAGGTGGTACCACGCAAATTCTCAAAGTAAAGTAAGTGAGGCAAGTGTAAACCCGAAACTCTGAATGAAAAAATAACGCCTTATCTACAAAACTACTATTCCACAATAAATAGATATAATACTTGATCAAAAACATATCTGAGTTACTGACTACTGCGTAATATACACCTGAGGTCATGTTTGCCCATTTTAAACGGTTTGATTTGATTATAACAAATAAAAGACTTAGTATAATAGGCACTCAAATTAAACCCAGAGCCACACGTTTGTGTGAGGGTACGTGATACTACTTGGCTAGCCGAGCCAATGTCGATGGGGGAAAATGAGAAACAGTAAATACAAGAAATTTAGTCTGAAAGGAAGAAACGAAGTTGTAAAATAAAAAAAGCTATAGAAAAGCAGTAAGCTGCAAACTGAAAGGAGGATAAGAAACGAATAAAAAGTAACCAAACATAAATAAAGACCATAATATGGGTTCCAACAAAGAAGTCTGAAATTCTTGACTTCTCATCCAATAGCTAGTAACGTTAAGGATTAATATTGATCAGTTAGTCCCTAGCTTTTTCTAGCTTCATTAATTAGCTTCGAGAGAGGAGGAATAATCTTCCATGCGTTTGGATCTTTAGCACCTATTTACAACGAAGAGAAGGCCAAGTTTAAGAGGGAAAGTTAATAACAGGGTGAGAGGAAGTTAAAGTAAAAAGAAACGTTTCAGGACGAAGAAGATGGAGTCGATTACTGATTACATACTATATTTTAGTGAGTAGTTGTTTTTGTGGCATTAGCTCGATACTTTTTAAGAGTTTACCATTGGTGAAAATAACCCATCCCTTTGACCACTAAACAGTAGCATCACTAAGCATACCGTTTATCTACTAGAAATGCTGTAATGCAAGTAATCATAAGAAATGATGACAAATTCACTACGTAGGATAACACTGAAATATGCATTTATTTCTGAAGGGCAAAAATATCATAGAATTATTATTACAGCAATATTTGAATGCAAATTTGGTAAATAAAAAATAAACTAACCATTTCACCTTCATAAGTTAAACATTCTTGAAATACACGATCGAGAAATACGTCGGTTAATGTACCATTTCCAAATCTTTACAACAAATTTACAAAAATGATATATAAATCAATACTCTTCGATAGCGATAAAATAATACACTAACCGAACTTTACAGTCATATGCTAATTTTTACAGATCGCATCAACATCTTCGTTGTTGATATCAATCGAAGTCACCAGACCACATGATAAACAATCATTTAAATTATTGGTTTGGAAATGGCAGAGCCAAAAATCAAATCAGTATAACTAGTCTCAAACAGGAATAAAAAAAGACGGATATAGAGCGAAAAATAAAGGATCCGCAAAAATATAGTAATACTTATTGTTTGGATCCCATCAGTGATATAGAGGAAATGAATTTGTATCATCACAGTTGAGCACACTTACAATTTAAGTTTTCGAAATAGACTTTGAGTTTCTCAAACACACTTACTCTTAAACATCATTTACTTGCCTAAATTGGATAGTAGTTAAATTTGTAGTGGTGACTTGATTAAAAAGATTTTATCCGTTAAGCAAAACTATATAAGGGTAAAAAGGATAATGTTGGTTCTATATCACAAATAGGTAAAAACTACACAAAATGAGACATAGTTTTCTATTTGTAACAAGGAGAGAAGCTCCCACATCTAATCTAGTTTGAGATTATAGTTGAGTAAAAATAAAGAGTTCCAAGCGAAGATGAACAAATAATTTAGTGCTACTGGATTGTCAATGGTTCTTAAACCCGAGTCAGTTCATGATTACATGAATACATAAAATGAACAAATCTTCATAATATGAGACCGAATAGACTATAATATATTCCTACGTCAATTGTTTGGAAAAAAACTGGCAAGAAGTCTTGGATCTGGTTTTGAATGGTTACTTATTTATTTGAACACATGAACCTTGGTACAAGAGGGCACCAAATATATATGCGCCACACAATAACAATGAGGTTGTGAAGAGAGAGAGGTAAATTGTGTATAATAAAAACGAAGAACAACGATTAATAGAAATTAATGCATGAGATTCAAATAATAATAATAATAATAATTAATAATAATAATAATAATAATAATAATAATAATAATAATAATAATAATAATGGGCGAAACAGTTCAGTTAGCAAAAATACAATCAGAAAAAATCCTTTTAGTCAGAGAATTTACGTTAATTTTTATGAAGAAATTAAAACAAAACTACAGCAGGATCTCCACTGCCTTTTATCCTAAGGTACGTTAAGTAACATCACAGGCCATTATGTTGCATTGTCTTAAGGACTCCAATTAGAGAGTCATGAAGTACCAACAGAAGCCAGTCCTGCACAGTTTTCTTTCGTAGCACGACGCCATATTAAATACTGACAACCTCTCCGCTTTTTCCAACCACGACGTGAAATTCGCCTGGACGACATTAGTAAGACATACCCAAACCACCGAAGCTGGTGTTTCAAGATGGTGACATCGATTGCATTATCATCTCTATGCCCGAACACACGATGCCGAACCTCTGCATTACTGACATGGTGTTGCCACTGAATGTCAGCAGTCCTTCGGAGGCAACGATGATCGAACAGAGAGTCGTCTAACATCCTCAACTCGGAGAGACCAGGTTTCACAAGCATACAGCAAAACTGCTCTCACCGACGCGTTGTAGATCCGACCTTTTACAGCCAGACTAACATCACGAAGGCGCCAAAGGTTGCCCAGATTGGCATAAGCCGCTTTAGCTTTCACTACACGTGGATTGATCTCATCACTCACACCCCCACCAGCACTTATGCAGCTACCTAGATACATGAACTTTTCGACTACTTCTATCTGCTCACCATCCAGGGTGAGTACAGGATTAGGATCCTGCCAGTCTTGTAGAAGTACTCTGCACTTCGAAGGTGCGAAGCACATACCATACCTACGGACATTGATTGCCAACTGATTAAGTGCGGATTAAATGGCTTGGATATCATCACACAGTAAAATAATATGGTTTCATGCCATCACTCTGCCTGAGGTGTTTGTATATAGGGCTTTTAAAATGTTAATAAATTTCTCAGGTATACCCTTCTTCAATAGGCAATCCCAGAGAGCAGTCCCGTCCAACGAATCCAAGGCAGCCCTGATGTCAAGAAACACTACAACTGTTGGTCTGTGATGACGGTGTTCTAACATTTGACGGAGGGTGAAGATATGATCAATACATCTTGAACCAGAACGAAAACCAGCCTGCTCCTCACGAGTCAATCTCTCTCGGGTTTTGAACAACCTATGAAGTAAGACGGAAGCCAATAGTTTGGACACAGTCGGAAGTAGACTTGTCTCATGATAGTTGTTGTAGAAAAAACAAGGACCCTTTCTAAGGATAGGGACAAATGTCGATTCATTCCACGATGTTGGAACACTCACTAGTTGCCAGAAGTAGGTAAAAAAACAACCAGAAAGCCTCCACCATCTATAAAAAGGTCCGGGAGAAGGTCATCTGGGCCTGGTGATTTGTAGAACCTCAAGAGTTGGAGTTCTTCGAGGATTTCAACCTCGGTAGGTGGATCAGTCGTCGCCGGTTATGGAGGGCAGGATAGTCTGATAGATGTCCCCGAAGTAGAAGACCAGTTGAACTGCTCCTTGAACTCTGCCCGTCGTCCAAGACGGAGGTAGATGTTACTGATTGGCATCCCACCATCGTCACAAATTGCTTCAGTGATCTCAAGTGCTGATAGAAGTATGAGGGCGGCTATAACTTCCCATACGCTTACACCGTGCAAGGGTTTTACTGGAGGTACCTGAAAATTAAATTGGATTAGAGGTGGCATTAGTGACCTGAGAGCGTGACCTCAGTACCCAAGGGACAACTGCTTGAGGTCGGTCACACACGACCTTTTCATGAGTAATTTTTGTGTTAGCTCCGTACTTGTTGAGACCTTACCGCCGGAGACGGATATCCGTAGGATAAGGCGAGGTGTGCATTTTTAGGGTTAACTTTTTCTAACCCCACCCTTCTTTATCGGAAGGTAGAATCGCTGTTATGCTGATTGTCTGAAGGAAACACCTTACTGCCGTTACACCTCTGTACAGTCAACAGTACGGCTTCGCCTTCGGACCTTGGGTTTACTGCTTTTAGTTTTACCGTTCTTCAACCGACCTATCTGGCATGGTAGAACCTTGAATAACAATTTTTCCAGCCAGCGTAGCTCGACTGGTTCATCACGATAGGCAAGCCCGACCACAACGTCAAGGTAGCAATAACGGTCGGGAAAATGCCTCACTCACACCAGACTTCTGGATGCCAGTAATTTGGATGAATTGAAAGAGCTTCCAACAGTTATTAGATGCAACTGATGCTTCTATTTCATTGGCACGCCAGCGACTTTAATCGCCATCTTCTTGGGGTCATGTAATTGCAACCAACTGTGCCAGTAGTTATTGATAGCCAGAAACAGGTTTTGGTCTGCGCACAGTTGCAGTAGATGGTCCCCATTATCTGACCTGCAACCAACAAGTCCCCACCGGCTAACTAAACGACTATCTTCTGTACCTAGACGCCCGACCTGAGTATTCAAGTTTCCGGCTAGTACTACAATATCTGTCGAACGCACTTTCCGTAGAAGAACAGTTAACTGGTGACAAAACTCATCCATCATTGTATTCGGGTTACAATCTGTGGGGACGTATGTGTAGACGAAAAGACATCTTTTCTCACACTAATTTTTTTTCACTTTGATTGAGTTTTGAGTGATAAGAATCGTCAAAAGGGCGAACATAGAACTTTAGAGAAAGCGCATAATTGATTATTCACTTTTTAAACACGTTTAATTTACATACCAAAAATTTATCACAAGTTAGCCTGTATTGGTCAAATGGTTGAAAACGACTAAGGTGTCCAGTTCAGAAAATGTCACTGTATAAAAAACTGATGACAATGAAGAGTTAAAAACTGAATGATCAGAAAGATTAATAAAGCTCTACAGTAAAAATAACCTTTATGAGATGCTAAATGTTATTCATCTTACCGTGATAATTCACTGCGTGTTAACAAACCATTTCGATCTTCATCTAAGAGCAAATAGCTACCGTAGACACGTACAGCTGATTGATGACTAAACCAATTAGCGGCTAATTGTGCCTCTGATGTAGATACTTCACGTAATTCAAGCATAGAGTCTAGAAATCCACTAGCTAAAATGTCAGTGATACGCACACGACCCGAACGCAAAGGATCAAGGAAAAAGAAGAACTTTCGTACAGCCGTGCATACATAGAATGTTTGGAACGTTGGCTCCAACTCTGATAGCTAAAGTTATTTTTGGGTAAGGAATACAAATTTTTTTAATATTTAAGAAGTGTTTCAAGGGTTTAAAAATTTTCATAATTACCAAATGAACATAGTCAAGTCCTATTAAACATGGGCAAAATTAAGGTTTAAAAGCTAGCAAAAGTTTGAGGGACAATGGGACAGTGAAAATAATTCTGACGTACTGTAGTCAACCAAACTTTAGTGTCTGTAAAATGAGAACTTACTGTCACAATCCAGGAGTCTTGGTTATGTACAGTCAAATTCTGTGTAGTGGTTTTTGAGTAAGACAGAATTTAAGGGAGCAATATCTGAGAGGAGGGCAAAGTTCGACTTGCACTTTTGCGTAGTCTTCTCTGGACAGTGAGTGATTTCTTTCCCCATGAAATAACGCAAGAGACACAGTAGAAACCGGACTGACCAACCACCGTCAGATAGAGATCGGACTAATCACCCACTCTGTCTAAACACTGATTATAGGAGAAGAGGGGTTGACTTGAATTGGCTTTGTGGCTGTGGTATTGGAGAAAACTTCTTTTTTGGCGCCTGTACAGACTAGTCTGGAAAGACCCATGAGGTCTGGCAAGGGCGGGTCAGAGCGTAGGCCATTATCTGTGCCGTAACCAGTGCAGTGGTCGACAATAAACCGACTTTTGATAAGAGCGTGGAGTGAGTTCATCATCTATGACGACTTAAATGCTAACTTGAATACTCGATATTTATTCAGTGAAATGCTGCTGGGCTTGGGGCATTCGTATCTATGTTTATGTGCATACTATGGAGTGCGTGGGCCTGGCTTAAACATTCAGTATATGCATGTATTGTATACTTGCGAGTGGAAACTTCTATGTCTATATGTAATTGTGGGAGATGTGGACTTTTCGTCGCTTTCTATGACTACATATGTTAGCATACTAGCAACTGTGCCCATCTATACCAATATGTACGTCACTGGAATGTATGTATCCCCGACACCTGCATTTGAATATGTACACATGAAGCATACTTAGGTACAGATAAACTCTACGTTTGTCCGCTGGTGAACTTATTAGTAGCTTATCAGAGCTTTTGGTTGCATAAAAGCTTCCGAAAGTGGTGGGAAAAGAGTAGTGTAAGCCAATATAATACGTCTGCACTAACAGGTGTGGGTCGAGAAATTCGTTCATACTACTGATATCATATCTCCATCTACATAATTCTCCAGTGTCCAGTCGTACTGTCCCTTGGAGCTCTTCTCTCTGCCCGAATAGCCATGAGGCTCCAACCACTTCGTTGGGCGGGTAACAGTAACCGTAATATCTGAAAGGTTTTGAACCATCGGAGCCGAGTGACTAGATTATTTAGCTAGAGCTACGTATTACAGTTGAATTATTCATGCGCCATGAACTGATCGCATTTATAGAGTAAGATGAACCAACGAAAAACTGTAATGAGTTAATAAGTGAAATTAGACAACACTGAATGCTGAAGGAAGACCCTGGTTATTAAAGAAAATTGGTTGACATGCGATTCTGTGTTAGGGTTTGAAATCAATTTTTTTTAATAATTTATAAAAATTAACCAATACAGGTCTTAGTCTCATTAGTTGATTTTTTAGCAATGTAAAAGCGCATGAATGAGGGCCTCAAGTATGGACTGGCCATTAGGTCGTGTCAGATTTATCACCTTATCAGAGTAACATATTTATTAAGAAGGATATTGAAGTCACACGTTTGACGAAATTAATGAGTACAGTGCATAGTTCATTTTTTCAAATACTCAATACATTTTAAAGTGTCATGTGGTCTAACTAAATAGTATTACCTCCTAAATGGTATCAAGACAATTCCTCCACCAAAGCAGTCACATTCACGATAAAATGTAGAATGAACAAGTTACCTGACACAAAGTAGGGATAAGTTCCAACATATAGTTTTCCAAATCTGTCTCTCTCAAATAACCTTCACCGCACACATCATAAAGAGATATCCCAACATGGGTTTGTTGCAACCATACTTTCTTCATGACATAATTGAAAAATGTCAATATATTAATACGTGACAAAACTTCATCTTCACGAAGTAATTTTACAAATGTAGCTGCTGTGAAATATTGCCTAAAATATATTCATTTGTAAATTTTGATTAGCATGTAACTGTAAGTATTGCAATCATGAGAAACAAACAAAATTTACAGATATTTGTCAGTCAGTCAGTCAGTAACAACGTAGAACTTCGTACGTACGTACATCAGTTCGAGTTGCCACACCACATTAGCACAGAGATGCAATGGTCGATTCAAATTCCGTAGTGGTAGAGGTAATAAGAGTATAAGCAGTAATCAGGAAAATTAGGGTTTGGAGATGTTATTTAAAGAGTATAATACAGTGAAATAAATTTGGGAAGAGAAAAAAAGAGACAAGGAGGAATAAGGAGATCAAAATTTGGGAGAACACAAAGAGTGTATGCACCTGCGCCATTGCAAACGATTTTGAGCCATGTCATTCAGGGTCTCTAACCATCGGTTGCTATTATCTCACGGTCCCCAACCAGGTAGTCTACACCTACCAACATGACTCAGTCCACTTGTCAGTGACTTCATGGACTTATGCCATGTTTTGGTCTGACCGCCCCTAGCTTTCTTCCAACCTACTCCTATACCATTGAACATAGCACGTCGAGGCAGTCGGTCGTTGGGCATACGTAACACGTGTTCCAGCCATCTCAACTGATGAAGTTTCCCGACATCGGTCGGTAGTAGTTTTAAGTAAAAAGTGTAGTTGATAGGTTAGCAACCACTCGAAATAGCTAGCGTTGACCGATAATCATAATATCTACATGAAAGGACTAAATGAATGTTCACGTTTTATAAGATTGCGATGAAATGATTTAAGAGCGATTTCGTGACAAGTTTTTGATCATTAGTATCTAAGATCACTGCTAGTGCATGATTCAACGACCAAATAAATTATCTTTGAGCTACAAATATTTTAAGTAAATTTAATAAAATTCATGTCATGTAATTTTTGTATCTTGCCTCCCTTTTGGAATTTGTGTTGTGATATTTAGAAAGGTGGCAAAGTGAACTAACGTCTAAGGTTCTATATCGCATTCCAAGGTTGTTTGTCGAAATAAGATTTACTTTTCTTCTACATTTCTAGGCATTTTATGAATATTTTATTGAAAATTATAAGAGCTTAAATAGCTCAGTATCTGTGAGACTCGTAATTCTTTAATTTTAGGTGGATTCTTAAGCATGACAAATTATGATCGTCCCTATGGAGACTTGACTTGATAAATTTAAATAAGTTGGGTTGGACTGATAATAATGAGACAACAACGTATTTATAATATTCCAGTGAGAAGAAAATAAAACTTCCTGTTCTAATTCGAAAAATTTTATTTTTTCCTCTGAAGACAGGACCTACACCAAGCTGAAAAAGTAGGGGATTTAACCTTCTACAGACCATAATAACATAAACGTAGTATCTCGTTACCACAAAAGGTATACTTTAAAACTGACTGCACAATAAACTGTTGCCTAAATAAAACGTAAATGTTTAAAAGCAAATTAAAAATAAAACCAATCAAGCCAAAAAAGTACTTGATACTTACTTTGCCTTGGGAGATGCTTCTTTAGATGCCTTGCGAAAATTCTCATAGTCCATGAATTTTTCACCATTAACTGTAGGAGGTGAATGATAGCGTTCCAAAAGATACCAAAACTCCTTGTACAAAAACAACGTATAACAGAAACTACCTTACTTGAAGTTCAACATTAGACAACAATCTCAAACTTTTTCTCTCCAACAAAGCAGACCTAAAAATGATCATAGTTTGTCTAAATATCTACCTAGCATCCTCCCGTAATTTCGCAGGTAAAATCTCATTATCTTGTGGTACCTGCACAGTAAGTTAATAGTATCTTAATATGTACTAACACGTTGAAAAAAATCTGGTATGCCTAAGTTCTCTGATTCATAATCTTCAACTCCACCCCACGCTTTATAATAATGCAGGAATAAATCACTATGTAGGTTTACTAATACAGAAAAATGATTGTTAAAGTGAGTTACAAACCACTTGACATTTTAACGCCTAGTAGTTACAATGGATGACATTCAACGGTAGAAAGGCTGTAAACAGACATATTGTTTAGTCGGAACCAGATAACTGAAAACCAGAACAAAAACAGGTTAAAAACCAAACTCTTAAAGAAGACTGGTTTTTATACAGGTGGAAAGAAATAAGGAGATTAGGTAAAAAAAATGAAAGAACATAAGGATTTGTGTATAACAGTATGTAAATTACTGCTTATCTATTGACTGAAAATTTAAAAATTTGCATACATATTTCAACATTACTTTTAATATTATATTAATCAAAGGTTTGTGAAAAAATAATCTTCACCTACGGTCTTGTTTATTTTCTTGCGCTGACATGTTCCATTGCAATAAGTATCAGTTATTTCAGTCATAGCAAACAGCCATATCAGCAGAAAAAACAGAATTTTTATAAGCATAAATTAGGTACGACCTTAACAGTTTTATGAAATTCAGTACTCCACTTCCACAACCGTCATATTTAGTCGTAATGAAAAAGCATGAATTGGTGTTAAATGACTTTGCACATAAGTGGAACAACTGACGAGACTATAATTTTTGAACGACCTTTGAGCCTTTGGGAACCACGATTACTTGCTACAGTCGAAATACGGATATAAATTCATGTGAGGAATCGAGACTAAATGTTAGAGGTTTAAGTCGGGATTAGGAATTCAAATTAGGATTTTAGTCACGACTTGATATCAACTATGGTTCCAAAATGTAATTTTGTTATATGTATAAGTGGATTCTGTACCAAAGTCCAGGAACCGAAATCTTAGATCTGACTTGTTAGGCCATGAATTATAGTCTCGCCGACAATTTCTTTTAATTTCAGGAGGGTAAAGCTGAACAATACAGCAGAAGGAACTTGAGATCTTGACTTCTTTAGCCAATAAGGAGTCGCTGAAATGTAAATGATCTATAGTGCCAAGATTAGGGTAGCGAGTTTACGGATTTTCGCTTCTTCGTGATGAAGGTTCTAAACCAAATTCCAAACACCAACTATTAACCCTATTTTGATATATGCCTCGTGACTTTGGAGCATCTTAGTGATCCACCAGTGGATCAAAGGTACATTTCAGGTTTATCACTGACAACAGTAAACTACTATCGCCTGACTCAGTATCCCGGGAAGAACCAGTCACAATTCAGGGAAGACCTAATCTTTCCAAAAGGCAAAAAGGGGTTCTTGCATTATGTATGATGTAGATTCGTAATATAAATCATGAAAATTTGCATACAATAGTTCATCATTCACGTTCAACAGCTTTTTCTACTATATTTTAGTAATATTATGATATGCAGATGACCCTTGGGCGATATAAATAGTCGATTAACCTAAAGATGTCTTCTTGTTGGCTGATAAATTTTCAATAACACCCATCTACTAAAATTCCGAAGGGAAGCTCGTTTTTTTACTCAACCCTTGTTTGTCCTCTGGACAAGGTCAAAATTATCTTATCCGCAGTCACCGCCAAGGTTTTACCCCAAACAGTAAATAATTCCAATGTTCCTTTGTCTGAGGTCAGTCAGTTTCAGTTTCAGTTTCAGTTTGGGAAGGACAGGAGGCTCGATGGCCTATGTTAGTCCTGGCAATGGTGGTCTCTCAGTTGATCCAACTTTCTTTTGAAAGAGTCGACGGATGGAGCCTCAACCACGTGCTAAGGTAGTGAATTCCACTCGTTGATGATTCGATGGGAAAGTCGATAGTCAGCTGACAAGTAATTTGTTCTCGGCTTATGAACTTTTTTGGAGTGTCCTCGTAAATTCTCTGTTTTGGAAGACAAGAAAAATGAGGGCATGTTAGGTGCAAATTTATCACTAAGCAATTTGTAGACTGTAATCAAGTCGCCTCTAGTTCTGCGATATGACAACGGGAAAAGGTTCAGCTTGGCCAATCGAGATTCATACGGAAGCTTCGCTATTGCGGGAACCAGCTTAGTCGCCATTCTCTGAACCTTTTCCAGAAGCTCTCTGTCTTTTTTAAAGCAGGGGCTAGCCGCTTGTATGCAGTACTCAAGTTTAGGACGAACGAACACTGTATACAAAGTCAAAAACGTCTTAGTGTCGACATGACTAAAAGCCCTACGTATTGACCATAACGTTCTAAAACTTTTGGCGGCTATTGCACGGCAGTGTGCAGTAGTCTTTAAGTCTTGACTAACGATAACTCCTAAGTCATTATATGTCTGGACGACAGGTAGCTCAGTGTTATTCATCGTGTATGTATCTGTGCCTTGATGACCGATATGCATCACAACACACTTGGAAGTATTTATCGGCAACTGCCATGTTTGAGACCATTCAGATAACTTCTTCAAGTCATTTTGAAGTTCTAAGCTATCACTCTTACATCGTATCGTTCTCCATATCTTGACATCGTCAGCATATAGCAAGACCGATGATGATAGGAGACAAGGAAGGTCATTTACATACAAGAGGAATAGCACTGGCCCCAAAACTGTACCCTGGGGCACTCCACTAAGCACAGTTTCCCAGCTAGATAACTTTGAGTTCACCCTTACTCTTTGTTGACGCCCAACTAAGAAGTCTTTTATCCACATCAATAAGTTACCTCCAATCCCGACATGTCTTAACTTATATAACAGCCGGTTGTGCGGAACTTTATCAAAAGCTTTACTGAAATCAATGAAGGCGACGTCTACAGGTAGCTTTTGGTCCTTAAGAGCACACCAGCTTTCACGAGCCACTAATAAGTTAGTGAGACAAGAATAACCTATTCTGAAGCCATGCTTCTTCTCCGAGAGGATCCGGTTTTTATCGAGATACTTAAACAGCTCCTTCCGAATAATCTTTTCTAATATTTTAACAACCATACTAGTTAGGCTAACGGGGCGGTAGTTCTGAGGTTTGTGTTTCGTGCCTGTTTTGAAGACAGGACTTACTATAGCGTTTTTCCAATCTTTCGGTAAGCGACCCTGCGTAACGGATAGGTTAAAGCATGTACTTAAAGGGTTCGCAACGAAGTTAGATAATTTCCTCAGTAGCCTAGGATGTAATTCATCGGGCCCCTTGGATTTACCTATGTCAAGCTTATTTAGCAGACCAAAGACATCGAGTTCTTTAATGGTCACGCTATCCAGTGTATGTATGGGGGGATATGTATACGCTGATGAGAAGGGCGCTTCTATGGTATACACGTTGCTAAAGTAGTTCGAGAACGCTTGAGCCTTACCAAAGTCGTCCTCCACTAATGATGAAGCAGTACTGTCTCCCCATAGAGCAGGAATATTTCCTTTTCTCCTTGTCCTTTGGTTTATATAGGAATACAAGCGTTTAGGACATTCTATGGATTCCTTAACAAGTTTTTCTTCGTACAATTTTCTAGACTTACGGAGGGTCGAGGCACAAGTGTTCCGAGCCTTTCGATACTGAGATTTTGACTCATCAATCCCCAGTAACCTAAATCTATCCCACGTTTTCCTTTTCTTACGGAGAAGGATACGGACCTCCCTACTGAACCATGGTGGTGAGTTTTTCGGCCCCTTTGGTATAGTCCAAGGGATGTGAGGTAAAAACATGTTCAAAATATTCCACGCTTCTTCTTCCATTACTTACTCCTTATTCTACATTGCAGAATCCAATACCATGTAGCTTGTATAAACCGACTGATTTCTTTGAGCTCGTTTTCTGTTATTTTGGTACGTTTCCAGGTGGATGATAGTCTAGCCACTCGGTTGCCCCTATTCTAGTTTCTTCGTTAATTATATGTGGATTAGTATGTCTTGTATGTCGAGTGCGTTTGTCCTATGTCACCAGGGTTTCTGGATTCAAACAGCTATCACATTACCATGTAGAAGACTGGTTAGATGCACTGCGAAAGTAACAAAGTGGTAGCTTGAGTGTCAAGAGGATACTGTTATTTCAAGAATAATGCGTAAGTAAATAAGTTGGTAGTGTGTAGGAAAACGGAAATGAAGAAATAAGAAGGGAGACGAAGACGATAGTAAGAGATATAGGAAACCGTTACTGATATGTGGTAGCGATAACCTTTGTAAAATATATGATGTGCATCAGACATAGCAGGTCTAAGAGGGAGATGGTAATCTATAGGTCAGTATGTGTCCGTCAAGTCTCGTCTTGTAACTACCCATTGATAGGACTGTGGCCACTTCGGCCGGGAAAGCTTTGTAAATGGATACAACTCTTGATAGGAAAAAATATTACCGCGCCTGGGCTCTCTTTCCTCAATGTGCTATCATTCTGATTTCTTGTAATTTACCCCTTGGTTCTCTTGCGTTGATATAACGTAACGTAACGGTTTGCCTATTACCTGATGCCGCATCTGTCTTCTGGGATTTAAGTGGATTGTTGTTCAAAATATGTTGGCCATTTACATGCGATCAAAGTAAACTGACACCAAAGTGTATTTTATTGGGATTATTTGTTGCTGCCCTACCGACCTAAGTTGACTTTCACATAGAACGCAACTGTGGAGGTCGTTTTCCAAGCATCACCAGGTCTGAACAACCTCCGTGAAGTCTCTTCGTTTCCTGAAATTCGCAACCATCGGACGCGGAGACTGTGGCCGTGGGGGGTAACGGACGAGGAAGCCTGGACACGCTAATTATTGTAGTGGTGTGAAAGCCTGTGCTGCGTGATAGACAATGTTACCGTTGCAGCTGGTATTCATGAGCTTCAACCAGAATACCGCACATTAGATCAGGCACTTCGTGAACCATTATATTGGTTGCCTTTCGGGTTTTTGCTGATCTTCTGTCGACACCTCCCACATCCCACGTTTTGTCGTGTCTAACTCGGATTTGAGATGACCGCTTGGCCGATGGTCACTGAGATTTCAGTAAAATCTCTTCCATAACGTGTACTGAGCCATGCTTTCACTAATTCTCTTCCCAACACTCACCCACCGCTCTTTACCCTTAGAAGATACTGGATTATTGGCAATGGTCAGCAGTTTCATTTATGTATGAGCTCGAGTTTTGGCTTCCAGAGTCGTGTGCTT